CAGGTATTGTCCTCTAGGGCTCAGTCTCAGCCTTAATATCTAAAGGGCTCCTTTTCTTTGGTGGGCATTCATCTGTAGTAGAAATAAATCAAGAGCTCTTCCATACTGGTTTTGAATTGTAATAGCACTGTGTCTACTACTGTATTGAAGACCACACAATCTGAGGAGCCTGAGATCAGGTAGTTATAGAAAAGTGTTTTTTGTTTTAAATTTTGAAATAATTTCAGATTCACAGGGGGGTCTTATGTACTCTTCACCCCACTTCCTCCAGTGTCGTCATCTGGTATAACTATAGTACAATAACAAAACCAGGAAATTGACATTGGTGTAATATACTGACCTTCAGATTTCACCAGTTTGACATATGCAGTGTGTGTGTTCTATGTAATTTTATTATATATTTAGCTTTGTGTAAGTTATCAACACTCTCAGGATATAGAACTGTTCCATTATGAGGCTGCCTCATGCTACTCCTTTACAGCCACACCTACCTTCCACCCCCTTCTTCAACATATCCCCAACCCTTGGCAACCACTTATCTGTTCTGCATGTCTATAATATTCTTTCAGGAATGATACGTAAATCTAATCATGGAGTATGCAGCCTTTTGAGATTGGCTTTTTGTCACTTAGCATAATTGCTTTGAAGTCCATCCAAGGTGTCATTTGTATCAGTAGTTCCTTTTTATTGCTAAGTAATATTCCACGTGGGAAGGTTTTTAAAAGCTCAGACTTTGGTGATTCATGGAAAGTCTGAATCTTTCACAGCAGAATAGTGGGGATGGTATTGGAAACAATGGGCGTGGGCATGAAATAATGGTAATGGTTTCCTGCAACATTCCTGTCATGAGGAGTGCAGTTGACCTCGTTGGAAAATCCTAGTGGAGAAGATACAGTTAAGAATAAGTCGGATATACTTTTTTCCAACATGGTGCACATTTTATATGCCCTATCTAGTACCTTGACTTCCTGTGGATGTGCTTGGTGAGCTGGTGGATAAATTAGA